CATCAGCATCATCATCATCATCAACATCATCATCAGCATCATCAGCATCAACAGCACAATCAACAGCCTCATCAGCAGCATCATCACCAGCATCGTCGTCGTCGTCGCTGTCCTCCTTGTCACCATTATCAGAATCATCGATATCTTCGTCATCAAAAGATCAAGCATGACCATCATAATCCGCATCAGAATCATCATCCTCGTCCTCGTCCTCCTCCTCATGATCATCACCATCACCATCAGCATCAGCATCAGCATTAGCAGCATCATCATCAGCATCAGCATCAGCATCATCATCATCACCGCACAATATTATTATCAGTATGCAACTCCTCATCCTCCTCCTCCTCCTCCTCCTCTTCCTCATCCTCCTCCTCCTCCTCGTCATCTTCCTCCTCCTCACTCTCGTACTCCCCCACCTTCCCCATCTCAGCTTCTCCCTCCCTCCCTCCCTCACTCCCTCCCTCCCTCCATCGTTCTCCGCATCCAGCTCCAGCTCCTCCTCGTCCTCCTCCGCCTCCTCCTCCTCCATTCTGCAGCTCCTCCAGCTCCTCCAGCTCCTCCAGCTCCTCCAAAAAGGAACAAGCGGGACCCCCAAAAAAACCCACAAAGGATAAAAAAATGGTAACTGAAAAAAAGAAAGAAACAAAATACAAAAAACCAAACAAGCTCCACATCCTGCTCCTCCTCCTCCTTTCACCGTTCCCCTCCTCCTCCTCCTCCCGGCTCCTCCTCCTCCTCCTCCTCCTCCTCCTCCTCAAGCTCCTCCTCCTCCTCCTCCACCTCCTCCTCCTCCTCGTGATCCGCCTCATCATCACCATCATCACCATCATCAGCATCATCGTCATCATCATCATCATCATCGTCATCACCATCATCATCAGCATCATCATCATCATCACCATCATCCTCATCATCATCATCAGCATCATCAGCATCATTATCATCGTCAGCATCACAGCCACCATCACAGTCACCATCGCAACTACCATCAGCGTCATCAGCACCAGCATCAGCATCAGCAGCATCCGCATTATCAGCATCGTCATCATCAGCATCAGCATCATGATAATCATCACCATCATCAGTGTCATCAGTATCGTCATCATCATCAGCATCATCAGCAACAGCATCAGCAGCAGCATCAGCAGCATCGCCATCAGCATCGCCATACGCATCATCACCATCATCAACAGCAGCATCACAATCGCCATCATCAGCATCATCAGCATCATCATCATCATCATCATCATCATCATCACCATCAACCAACTCCGCGTCCTCTCCATAATCCTCATCCTCATCATCGCCATCATCAGCATCGTTAAAAGAATCAACCGCCGTCTCCTCCTCACCACCATCCTCCCCCGCCATCGTCGTCCTCGTCACTATCATCAGCAGCAGCATCAGTCGCCAACATGCTAACCATCGCCAGCATCAGATCCACCAACACCACCAACGGAATCACCAGCAGCTCACTATCATCGTCGGCAGCATCATCAGCATCAGCAGCAGCATCAGTATTATCATCATCATCATCATCATCATGCTCAGCAGCATGATCAGCATCATCAGCATCGTCGTCGTCATCATCGCACCCATCCTCCTCACCGTCATCTTAAACAACAGTAGCTGTACCAGCGTCTCCGTCAGCAGCAACATCGCCATAACCATAAGCAGCATCATGAGCATCGTCCGAATCCTCATCATCATCAGCATCAATCTAATCACAATCGCCGCCATCGAGTCATCATCATGAGCATCACCATATCCATCAACGGTACCATGAGCAACATCCCCATCCTCGGCATCATCAGCATCCGTCTAATCACAATCATCGTCATCAAATCATCCTCATCGTCAGCATCATCATCATCATCATCATCATCATCATCATCATCATCATCAACATCCTCATCATCAGCATCAGCAGCATCATCATCATCAGCAGCATCGTCGTCCTCATCCACATCGTCATCATCATCAACAACCTCATAGCCAAAGCATCCACAACATCAGCAGCATAATCATGCTCAAGAATCGCCGTCCCCATCAGTGACGTCATCTGCATCCGCATCAACGTAATCGCCATCATCATAAACATCAGCATCATCATCATCATCAGCCCCAGCACAATCATCGGCCTAAGCATCAACATCATCATCACGATCATCATCATCACCAGCATCATCATCATCATCATCAACCGTATCATCGCCATGGTCAGCAACAGCAGCATCATCGGCACCGTCAGCATCAACATCATCCTGATCAGCAGCATCATCAGCATCAGCGGCGTCAGCATACCAACACTCATCAGCATCATCAGCAGCAGCAGCATCACCATCATCAACAGCGTCAGTCTCTACAGCATCAGTGGCATCAGTAGCATCGACAGCAGCGCTGGCAGCATACTCACCATCAGCATCATCAGCATAATCATCAACACCACCATCACCATCACCAGCATCATCATCATGAGCAACATCCACATCATCAGCATCATCAGCAACAGCATCAGCAGCATCATCCGCAGCAACATCATCATCAGCACCACCATCATCACCATAAATGCCAGCATCATCATCATCAGTGGCAACAACATCCGCATCGGCATCATCAGCAGCAGCAACCGTACCATCATCATCAGCATCATCAGCAGCAGCATCATCAGCACCATCGTCAACTTCATCAGCATTACCACCACCATCACCATCATCAGCAGCATCAGCAGCAGTATCACTATCAGCAGCATCATCGTCATCCTCATCGCCATCACCAGCATCGTCATCATCATAAGCATTTCCATCATCGTCACCATCAACACCACCAGCATCATCAATTACCGTCTCCACCGCCAGTACCATCTCTATCATCACCATCATCATAGTCATCAGTAGCATCAACACCATCATCATCGCGATCTCCTAACCCTCGAGGCGCCCCATCCTTCCGCTTGCCCACGCCTTGACGCGAGGCGAGGATGGCCGTCACGCCAGACGTCGGCCTCCTAAGGGTAGGCCTCCCTCCCGCCCCCCCCCCCCTCGGCCTCCGCCTCCTTCTCCTCCTCTGTCGTTCCTCCCCCTCCCTCTCCATCCCTCTCCAACGCTCTCCCTCCCTCCCTGCCGTTCCTCATGTTCCTCCTCTCTGCCCCGTTTCGCCCAGATCCCGCGCGGTCCTGGCGGTGTTCGCTCAGGCCCACCTCGGGGAGCGCGGCCGAGGGAGGAGCGGGGAGGGCAGCGACGGAGAGAACCACGACAACAGACACCATCACCAACACAATCGCCATCATAACCGCCATCACCATCACCATCACCACGTTCCTCCTCATCATCCCCATCCTCATCAGCAGCATCAGCAGCAGCATCAGCATCAGCAGAATCCTCATCATCAGCAGCGTCATCATCAGCGTCCTCATCATGCTCAGTATCAGTATCAGTATCAGTATCGGTACCATCCTCGTCATCACAGTCATCATCGTCAACTGCATCGCCATCGTCATCAGCAGCAGCATCACCATCATCACGAGCAGCATCATTATCATCACCATCAACATCAGCATCATCAGCATCAGCATCATCATCATCGTCATCATCATCTGTATCGTCAGCATCCCCACCATCAGCTTCTCGTCGTCCTCCTCGTCCTCGTCATCCTCTTCCTCCTCGTCCTCGTCTTCATCCTCCTCCTCCTCATCCGCCGCCTCATCCTCATCCTCTTCCTGATACTCATCCTGCTCCTTCTCCTCCTGCTCCTCCTCCTCCTCCTCCTCGTCCTCGTCCTCGTCATGGTTCTCGTCCTACTCCTCCTCCTCCTCCACGTCCTCCTCCTCATCCGCCTCCTCTTCCTCCGCCGTCGCATCCATACCTCCTCCTCCTCCTCTCACTCGTACTCCTCCTCCTCCTCGTCCCTCCTATCCTCCTGCACCTCCATCACTCCTCCTCCTCCTCGTCCCTCCTCCTCCTCCTCCTCCTAAGCCTCCTCCTCGTCCTCGTTTTCCTCCCACTCCTCCCCCGTCCTCATACACTCAGCGCCATCCCTGCCCAAAATTAAGCAGCATCACGTCCTCCGCCCCGTGCTCCAGATTCATACTGCTTGCTCCCTCCTCCTCCTCCTCCTCCTTTCTCCCCCTCCTCCCTCCTCCTCACCTCCATCCTCCTCCTACCCCCTCCTCCTAAGTGGGCGTGAGGATGCTGTGGGCAGACTTCGCTGAGCAAGAGAGGCCCCCTCCTGATGCAGCATCCGGCATCAGCAGCAGCATCATCATCACCACCACCATCATCATCATCACCATCCGCAGCAGCATCATCATCACCATCATCATCAGCAGAATCAGCAGCATCATCGTCAGCAGCACCATTATCATCATCAGCATCAGCATCATCATCAACAACAGCAGCATCATCGTCATCATCAGGATAATCAGCATCAGCAGCATCAGCATCATCCTCATGATCATCCTCATCCTCAGCATCATCATCATCATCATCATCATCATCATCATCATCATCATCATCAGCATCAGCATCATCATCATCATCATCATCATCATCATCAAGAGCATCAGCATAATCAGCATCAGCAGCAGCGCCAGCATCATCATCATCAGCATCATCATCATCATCATAATCATCGTCATCAGCATCATCATTGACAACATCAACCACATCATCAGCATTGGAAGCATCATCATCATCATCATCATCAGCATCATCATCATCATCATCATCATCATCATCATCATCATAAGCAGCCTCATCGTCAGCAGTATCATCATCAGCATCGTCATCACCAGCGTCATCATCATCGTCGTCATCATCCTCATACTCATCATCACAATCACCAGCATCATCACCATCATCATACTCACCAGCAGCAGCAGCATCATCATCATCATGATCATCGTGGTCATCATCTCGTCGTCATCATCATCACCATGACCATCATCATCATCATCATCATCATCATCACCATCATCATCATCATCATCATCATCATCATCATCATCATGATCAGCAACATCAGCATCGGCAGCATCATCATCAGCAGCATCATCATCAGCATTATCATCATCATCATCATCATCAGCGTCATCCTCCTCCTCATCATCGTCAGCATCATCATCTGCATCGTCGTCATCGACATCATTAGCTTCAACATCATCATCATCATCATCAGCAGCAGCAGCATCATCAGCATCATCATCGTCATCATCATCCAGGTCCTCCTCATCCTCCTCCACCTCCTCGCCCCCTCCACCTGTTGCTAAAACGGTGGGAGCAATTGATTCCGCAACTCGCCACCGCAGCATCAGCTGCGGGATGCGACGCCCGTCGTCGCGCTGCACTGCGCAGAGGTTCCTGGAACCGCCAGTGAGGGGGGGGGCGAGCGAGACTGAGCGAGACAGAGAGGGAGAAAGAAATGAGAGATAGACCCGGCGCGTCGCGACGGCATGACTCCTCTTGAAAGCATGCCCAAATACACCAACCCACATGAAACGCACACACACACACACACACACGAACACACGCACGCACACCAGGGCAGGTCTGGGGACCGATTTGTTGTACATCCGAATCCAGACCTCCTGGGGGAGGACGAGGAGTGGAGTGATGGAGGGTAGGAATGAAGGAGTGGAGGGGTGGACGAGTGGAGGAAGAAGGGAGGAGTAGAGGGATAGAAGAGTGGTGGGGTGGAGGAGGAACGATGGAGGGGTAGAGGAGCAGAGAGAGGACGGAGGAGAGGAAGAAATGCAGGAGGAGGAGAAGGAGGATCTCCTCCTCCTCCTCCTCCTCCTCCTCCTCCTCCTCCTCCTCCCTTTCCTACCCCTCCTGCCGGCGACTTGCAGAGGGCCGCAGTGAGATCAGCGGAGGAGTGGGAGACAGAAGCGTGAAGAAAGGAACGAGGAGGGAGCAGGAGCGAGAGAGGAGGGATCCGCAGTCCATGTCCAACTGTGACGGGCCTAAGCATTTCTCACCGTCAGGCCTAGAAATCGACCTAGCACCTCTACGACAAACTGTGCAACGCCAACACCCACTGAAGAACTGCCAATCATGCTGAATGAAAACTGCATCAGTCTGACACACACTGTCTGGGGCTGAGAACTCAACGCCATCTAGTCGGAGTCTCGGCCATTGAGGTAACAGCTTGGCGGCTAGAAGGCACACTGCACGAGCAACTGTGATAGTACTGGCTACCTTCGCTGCTTCAGCCTCAAACGGTCTAGGGTGGAAATTGGCCCCTGCCTTGGCGACAGCATCGGCATGGCCGTTTCCCAACCTGCGGAAACGCTCACCCTGCTCAAGGTCAGGCTCTTCAGGATCCAGGTGGGCTTTGACCTCGACCAGGGCCTCTACATGCTTGCACTGGTTGATGTAAAGAAACTGGCCTGCATATTTCTTCTTGAAAGACAATATGAGAGAGGGTGGTAGTCTGAAGTGGCTGGCCACCGCCTGGCAATCCGAATAAACAACACTGGGGCTCCCCAACTGCAAAGACGCCTGCGCCAACGCCACAAACTCAGCGGCAGGGGCAGTCTGAAAGATTGGAGAACACACAGGTCCAAAGATCGAGCACTCGGGGAGGAGGAGGAGGAGATTCGCAGCACTGAAATCTCAGGAATGGTATTTTGGCACGATGAGGGATTATCAGGTGGCTGTCTTACTTCCCACAGTGAGAATAAGTTCTTGCAGAGAAACATGGAGAGGGACCTTGGAGAAAAGGGGTTTGTTGCAGCATCGTTGACGCACCCTGGGTTTACACTGGTCCTGTTCGTCTCCTCCTCCTCCTCCTCTTCCTCCTCATCCTCGTCCTCCTCCTCGTTGTTCCTTCCTCCTCCACCTCCACCTCCTCCTCCTCCTCCTCCTCCTCCTCCTCCTCCTCGTCCTCCTCCTCCTCGTTCCTTCCTCCTCCTCCTCCTCCTCCTCCTCCTCCTCCTCCTCCTCCTCCTCCTCCTCCCCCTCCTGGCGATCCTTGGCCCAGCCCGCCGCCAGTGCCAGCCCCCCCGCGAGGCCGCAGAGGCAGAGGGCCGGGGCGGCGGCGCGGGGGCAGCGCCAGGCGCGCCTGCCGACGACGACGACGACGACGACGACGACGACGACGACGACGACGACGACGACGACGACGACGACGACGACGACGAAAACGTCGACGGAGGAGGCGGCGGCGGCGACGCCAGAGTCGGCGACGGCGGCGGCGAGGGCGAGGACAGGAGGGACAAGAAGAGGATGGAGGAGGGCGGAAGGGGGATGGAGGGGGATGGGGAGGGGGAGGGGGAGGGGGGGAGGGCGGCGGGTGGAGGGGGAGAAGGAGGGAGGGTCGAAGATGGAGGGTGGAGGGTGGAGGATGGAGGATAAAGGAAGGACGGAGGGTGGATGGAGGAGGGAAGGAGGGCGGGGAATCGAGGAGACTAGGACGGAGGAGGACGGGGGACGGAGGAGGGCAGAAGTGCGATGCTAGAGGATGGTGGACGGACGGAGAAGGAGGGGGGGATGGAGGAGGGCGGAGAAGGACAGAGGAAGAGCACCTCTTCTGCAGAGTGAGGACGTCGGATGTTGGAGGGGGGAAGAGGAAGAGGAGGAGGAACACCACAATGTAAACCCCAGGTGCATCAACGATGTCGCAATGAACCCTCGCTCCGCGTTGCCTCTGGATGAGTCCCTACAAGGATTTATTTTCAATGAAGGAAGCGCCCCATTGGAAAAGAGTCGTCTGAAAATCTGGAGCCGTGCCCAAACACCATTCCTGAGATTTCAGCGCCGCGAGTCAACATGACTGTCGCACCCTCACGGTCCTGAATCGTGCCAGAACGCTATTCCTGGGACATCAACACAAATCAACGTGACTGTTGCACCCTGGCAATCCTACATCGTGCCAAAAACACTCTCTCGGGAACGTCAACCCCATGAATTCTTGAAACGGCTGCAAACTTTAAAAACGAATGTGCACGGCGCTGAATGGAGAGCCAGATGTTGAAAAGGAATCGCCTTCCATCCGCGAACTTCTTGCAAACTTTTAAGACGAATGCGCGCAGTGCTAAGGCGAGAGCCACATTCTGAACCAGGGCCCGCCCTCCATCTTTGAAACTGTTCCAACATTTAAAACGAGTATACGCGGAGCTAAAGCGACACACACATTTAAAAAACGCCCCGCCCTCCGCCCATGAAACTCTTGCAAGTTTTTAATACACATTCGGGCAGCACTGGGGCAAGGGCCACATGTTGAAATCCACCCGCCCGCCATCCACGAAACTCTTGCAATAGTTGAAAACGAATGTGCGCGGCGCTAAAGCGAGAGCCACACTTTGAAAACCACTCGCTCTCAATCCGTGAAGCTCTTGCAGAATTCAAGCTGGAGGACCAGAAATGATGAGAAGGCCTCCGGCGAAACGCCCTGCCACGTCTCGGGGCGCGAGAAGGAGGAGCCATGAAGAGAAGGAAGGATGAGAGCCCGGCCTCAGGCGCCACGCCGCTTCGCCCCAGCCCTCAGCGCCGCGGCTGCTGCTCAAGGCCGCGCCGTCTCCGGGCTCCTGTGGGTCGGCACCCAGGAAGCCCTGAACCCAAAAGCGGTCTCATCTCCTGGGCCAGAAGGGAAACTGGGACACACAAATAAATACACACAAATAAAAAGATTCCCCATATTTTCCTATATTTTCTGGGTTTTTGTCTTCCCCACCACTTCCCATATTTTCCCATATTTTCTGGGAAATCGACGATTAATTGTGTCTGTGTGTTTTTTTCCCTCCTGACTGGGGGCGCACGACTCACTTCCGCCACCTTCCGCCGCCCCTCCGCCGGCGAAGGCGGCCTCGTCTCGCGTCCCCCCCGCCCTCTCCGCCGCCCCTCCGCCGCGGAGGACGGGCCACTCCTGCTCGACCCTCGAGGGCGGGGGCCCTCTCTGGAGCAGCCCGCATGCGGGCGGCACGCATGCACCAGGGCTGGACCTCCACTGTGCTTTTCGTTTCCGCTCCGTCCTCGTGCTCCCTCGTTTCGTCTCGAAGTCGCCCTCGCTGCAAGACGACGTCGAGACGAAAACGGCCCACGAAAGCGCCACCAAAACACCGCCTAGGTCCACCCCTGGCATGCACCCCTGGGCCCCACTGGCCGATGTACCCCCTAGATGGGGATATAGGCCGTTCCCTTCGGGTTTCGAGGGGTGTATCCCCAACTGGGGGGGTCATTTGGTGGGGGTCTCGAAGGGAATGGGGATGGGGATGGGGATTGGTTAAACGATACGGACTCGTTGGAACGCCCCGCATGCAGGCGGCACCCCTGGCATGTAGGGCGCCGAACTCTATACACCAACGCTTTTTCCAGCCCTGCGCTGAAACTCTCACAAGAAAGCGGATCCTAAACAGGGTCCTGGTGTACACATTTTTCGTTGTTTCCATGGGGAGCTGGGGAAAAAGTATACACCGTCACCACACCACCCCGACGTCGCCCCCGACCCTCACAAATTCCTGGGATTGAGAAAGAGCCCGCCACTGGTAATGTACATGTTCCGGCTTCCGAGCATGCACTTGGTGGGGGTCTCGAAGGGGATGGGGATGGGGGGTCATTTGGTGAGGGTCTCGAAGGGGATGGGGATGGGGATGGGGATGGGGATTGGTTAAACGATACGGACGCGTTGGAACGCCCCGCATGCAGGCGGCACGCGTGCACCACCACCACCACCACGCCTGGCCAGAGCCCGCCCGGGGCCGCAGAGCAGCACCAATGCACCACGCCGCCCTCGCCGGGCCTCGGCCGGGCGGGGCCTGTGCGCCACAGGCGGGGCCCCGGACTGCCCTGGCCGGGCCTGGTCGTGGGTCGGGCATGTCCTCCTAGAGGCGGATGCTGGACGAAAGAGAGAGAATAGTCAGAAAAATACTCGACAACTAACCAGAACTGGTCCAGAAGTCATCCCCGACGATTTTTTCACCATTTTTGAATCTTCGTCCCGTAGAAGGGCATGCCCGACTGGAGCCTGGTCACGGTGTACAGGTGCCTTCTGCGGAGAGCAGGGTGCGGGCCATGCCAGAGGCAAGGCATTCAAGCACAACCCGTCGAGGGGACCCGATGTCAACACTGGGGAGTCCAGTTCGCGACAGACCCGCCACGACCCCACCTAAGAGCACTCCGCTCATAGACGACAGGCGGAAGACGAGTTGAAGTAATTGCTATAGACAGGCTGCAGCTTAGAGCAAACTGCCGCATTTGACGGTGTTCATTTCCGCTGCAATGCTTTCGTTGGTCTGCCAGCGCCTTGCCTTGCAGAAGAGTGAAGCTCCGTGAAGCATCCTGCACTGCATTGCTTCCCTGCTTTCTAATTTGCCTGGAGCTGCTTCGCTTTGGATTGTGCCACGTTGCCATGCAGTCCTTCACGCTGCGCTGGACTGATTTTCTTTGCACTGCCATGGCCCCGTGTTGCGCACGGCGCTGCGCTGCGCCGGCTTGCATTGCACTCGAACTGCATTCTCGTATCATTGCACCGCGCCGTGTTTCTCCTCAGGAGGGAAGCAGCTGAAGGATAGGGCAGGGCATCCCCACGTAGGCGGTTACTCGAATTCCCCCGCCCCCGCCCGAGGAATACCGCCGCCCACGCAAGCGCAAGCAGCACTCCCCCCCCCGTAGCCGCCCACGCAGGCCGCAGGCGGTAGGACCTACAGCCTGCGCCTGCGTGCGTGGGCGGCCACACCCGAGGCTGCAGGCTTCCCTCCCGAGGCCCACCGCATGCCAAAAGTAACACCAACGCTGGAGCCGCACAACGCCAGCCCTCGGGTCAGGCATTCGATCACTGCCAGCACCGCCCTCTGGACTGAACGGCTGGGTAAAGCCGTCCAGCTCTGGGATCTAAAAGGAACCAGTCTGTCGCCTGCTGAGGAAAAGCGTCAGGAATGGCATCCCACAGCAAGCTCGAAGTTTCGCAAACTTCGAATCGATCGGGCGTGGTGGAATACAACTCTGCACGAGACCGCCCCTGCAGGATTCGGAGCACGAGCGGAGCTGCGTTAACACAAACTATCGAGTCGGGCCAGAAGTCGGGCCTCTGCTGGCCGTTCGGGACGACCCGCGCGCCCCCGGAAAGCCCTCGGCGAGGCGCAGCTGCAGGAAGGCGCCCCTCCGGCTGGAGGACCGCCGCGAGCCGACGAAGGCGCCCGAAAACCTCGGGCCGCGACGCGAGGATGCCAAGGGCACGTGCAAGCGCCTGCTGCCCTCGCCCGCGGGCAGAGCCTGGCCAGCACAGGCCCGGGTCGGCCAGGGCCAGGCCGCGAAGCCCAGCCGGCCGCTCAGTACACCCTGCGAAATGTTTAAGAAATCTTGGGTTAAGAAATTCATAGTCTCAGATCTTGAACAAAAACCCAAGATTCCTATCAAAATCTTAGGATTTACATGGAAACATTAAGAATAATCGAGACTCTGGCCGAAAATTTAGGTTTTCTTAAGCATCGCCTAAGGTGTATAGCCCCCGGACCCGGGCCCGCGGATGGCGTAGAAGGGGGAATCGACCCCGCGTGGTTGCGAGAGCCCGGGCGAGCCAGAGGGAAGTGGCCGACCCCCGTCCCCGTGACTTGGCGCCGACCCCCGCCAGCTGGTGGAGCCCCGAGGCGAAAGAGGTCCGCCCGCGCCGCGCTGAAGAGGGTCACCCCTTCAGCACTGACTTGGGCGTTGCTTAAAGGGGGGGGCTTAAGTGGGGGGGGTGTGGTGGTGGGGGGGGGATATATATATATATATATATATATATATATATATACAAATAGGGGGGGGGGGGGCGGGGGTGGGCGCAGAAACGTACACCTAGAGTACCCCTTTGGGGCCCCAGGGGGCCCCTTTAAAGCCCACTGGAACAAATGGCTCACCCTTCTTCTTCGCTCCCCTCCTGCATCGCCCCCCCATTGCGTGACGTGTCGACGACTCCGAAGGGTATGCTTTGCGAAGGGTATGGTTTGAAACTGGCACCCTGGGGCCCAGGGGGGTACCCTGGGGAGCGGGCGAGGACCTTGACTGAGCTCTCCGCCGCGCCCCGAAGAGGCCCCAACGGCGCCGATCGCAAACCACACCCCAGCGTACCCACACCCTTCGTAGTCGCCGAACGTGAGCCCCTGTGCCTCCCCGTAAGCCGAAGGCAAAATCGACCCAACATCGGGCCGATATACATCGGAAATCGAGCGTTCTGGAACGCTCTGGAGCAATCTATCTCGGTTCGAGGCCCGCCTGACCCGGGTGCCCTCGGGGACTCACTGACCCGGGTCAATGCAAACCCGGGTCAGTCAAACTTTGCAGGATTATGCAAGATCCTGCAGGACCCTGCACCCAAAACCTGGTCCATGCGACCCTGGCGCTGCAGGATCCTGCAAGATCCGGCGCTCTGACAGACCCCCGTTTGCATTGTCCCCCCTCTCTTGTGAACGTTTTCTTACTCGGCGTTCCTACATTGGGCGGAAGAGGGGGGAGAGGGGGGTCCAGCTCTGCACCTCTGGTCAACGCGACTGCTTGTAACAGTGAGTCCTGTGGGGGAGCCTCCACCTGCTCGAACCAGGCGCCAAAAACACCCAACATCTACCCGATTGGGAGGGGGGGAGGGGGTGCGAGGGCCCGCGCCGATCGGCAGAAACAAAGAATAAAAAACTATCATCTTGACCCCCGATCGATTCGAGGCCTGCCTGGCCCGGGTGCCTCACCGTCCGCCAGCATCCGGCCCAGCTCGCCGCCCCGCTGGTCGGCCATGCGCCCGCAGCCGCGCGCCGCTAGGGCGGCCTGCCGCAGGGCCCCGGGCCCTAGGCCCGGAAAGGCAGGCTCGGGGGCATCCCCGGCGGGGCTGCGGCGGCGGGGGAGGAGCGTGGCCCGCGGGGAGGGCTCGCCTCCTGCTCCTCCTCCTCCTCCCCCTCCTCCTCCTCCTCCTCCTCCTCCCCTCCTCCTCCTCCTCCTCCTCCTCCTCCTCCTCCTCCTCCTCCTCCTCCTCCTCCTCCTCCTCCCCTTCCTCCCCTTCCTCCCCCTCCTCCCCCTCCTCCCCTCCTCCCCCCCTCCTCCCCCTCCTCCCTCCTCCTCCTCCTCCTCCTCCTCCTCCTCCTCCTCCTCCTCCTCCTCCTCCTCTCCTCCTCCTCCTCCTCCTCCTCCTCCTCCTCCTCCTCCTCCTCCTCCTCCTCCTCCGCCTCCTCCTCCTTCCTCCTCCTCCTCCTCCTCCTCCTCCTCCTCCCCTCCTCCTCCTCCTCTCCTCCTCCTCCTCCTCCTCCTCCTCCTCCTCCTCCTCCTCTCTCCTCCTCCTCCTCCTCCTCCTCCTCCTCCTCCTCCTCCTCCTCCTCCTCCTCCTACTCCTCTCCTCCTCCTCCTCCTCCTCTTCCTCCTCCTCCTCCTCCTCCTCCTCCTCCTCCTCCTCCTCCTCTCCTCCTCCTCCTCCTCCTCCCCTCCTCCTCCGCCTCCTCCTCCTCCTCCTCCTCCTCCTCCTCCTCCTCCTCTCCTCCTCCCCTCCTCCTCCTCCTCCTCCTCCTCCTCCTCCCCTCCTCCTCCTCCTCCTCCTCCTCCTCCTCCTCCTCCTCCTCCTCCTCCTCCTCCTCCTCCTCCTCCTCCTCCATCCGTAGCCATTTTGGCTCAAGCCATACGGCCCCAGTCGCCAGCGGCCCGCGGCGGCGCGGGCGCTGGTGCCTCAGGCGCCTGTGGCGCAGGGCGGGTGCCCGCCCAGGACGGCTCGCGGAGCCCGCAGCCCGTCCCCTGCCTGGCACAGGCGCCAGCGGCGGCGTCGTGCTTCTGCGAGGGCGGTCCTGCGCGTGGAGCGGGCTCGCTCCATCCTGGCAGGACACCACGGCGAGAGCATGGCGGAGCCCCGCCAGCCCCCCTCGGACCCTCCGTGGAAGCGAGGCGGGCAGGGCTCCACATGGGCGTGTGTGGCGACCAGGGCCTGCGGCTACACGTCCAACTACGGGAGCCGTGAGACGTGCTGGGCCTGCGGCCGCGACCGAGCGGGGCGCCCGACGGCCGAGGCAGGGGCTCGCGCCAAGCAGCGGCCGCGGTCCAAGCCTCGTCCTCGTTCTGGTCGGCCTTCTTCGGCTCGCGAGCCTGGCCGCGGGGACGACCCCATGGACGGCGGCGGCAGCACCAGCACGGCCAGCTCAGCCGAGGCCCAGGCAGTGGCCAAGTGCAGACGTGCGCTCAAGGCATTGCGGGGCATCCACGACGACAAGCACCCGCTGGTCGCTGCAGCCCGCGAAGAGCTCGCCGCTGCCGAAGCTGCAGAGCGGGCCACCATGCCCCCCGAGGATGTGCTTAGGTCGGCCCTCGACAGGCAAGCCACTCGGGAGGCAGAGAGGATCAAGGCTCAGGAGGAGGTGGACAACCTCACCGCCGACCTGGCGGCCGCTCAGGCCAAGCTTGACGGCATCAAGCGACAGCTGGTGGAGTCCGAGTCGGAGGTCGCGCAGGCCAGGCTGGCCAATGCCGCTGCGCCCCTCCCAGCGGATGCCGCCACTTCGGTGGCCGCGTTGCAACAGCTGCTCCAGGGGGCCCACACCTCGATCCTTCAGGGCCAGGACCGCAACGCTGTTGGCGGGGCCATTTTGGACCAGCTGGTCAACCACGTTCGCGCGCTGGGCGAGGCGCTACCAGGAGGAGGCGGGGAGCGGGCAGCCGCCTTTCGCGCCGCGGGTGGGCAACCCGCTGGCGCCAGCGCCCCCTCCACTGCACCAGCAGCACCACCAGCAGCACCGCCTCAGCAGGCCGTCGCCGAAGGGAGCCCAGCCGCCCAGTGGGAGTATGCAGGGACTGCATAGACGCGGCAGGCGCTGCGCGGCTCGTCGCACATGCGGCATCGTCACTTTCAATGGCTCCTGCTGGGCCTCTCTCCAGTCCTTCCTCCTAGAGGGCGCCCAGGACGCGCTCGTCGTTGCGGCTCAGGAACTTCGACTGGATCGAGAGGCACTGGACAGAGCGCGTACATGGGCTCATCGTCACGGATGGCAGCCTTTCATCAGCCCGTGCCGTCGCTTGGAGAGCGGGCTCCCGAGTGCAGGAGTGGGGCTATTCGTCAGGTCGCACGTGCAGGCCACTCTGCTGAGTGGATTGGGGAGCACGTCCCCTGGCAGTTTTGAGATCTTGCGCTCGTGGGCCGTGGCGGTTCACATACGTGCGGGCCTCCGAGGTGGCTTCATCGTTGGCTCTGCCTACATGGAGTCAGTTGCAGGCGCCGACTACCTCTCGGTCAATTACCAGAAGCTCATGCGCATCTCGGAGGCCATGCGCTACTACGCTGCTCCCTTCGTCTTCGCAGGGGACTGGAACACCACGCCTCAGGACTTTGAAGCGCTCGGTCTCCTTCAGGTCATGCCGGCGGCGATCGTGGCCCCCAGCCAGGGTACATGTAGGTCGGCGGTATCTGGCACCTACCGAGTCATCGACTACTGGCTCACCACCCCTGGCTTCGTTCGGGCTTGTGGCAAGCCGCGCGTGCTGGACCGATGGACAGCCCGCCCACACTACCCTGTGCGCTTCGAGCTGGAGGCCACGCCGCGTGCTCAGTGTCAGCTCCATCTGGCTGCTCCGCGAGCTTTCCCGCGCCAGGCGCCGCGGTACTCAGGCGCTTCCCCCCTGGTGGGTGCGCCGCCGCCTCAGCCGTATCTTGATGCCGTCCGCCATGACGCCGCACGCGGAATCCCTACCGATGCAGACTGTGCAAGGCAGCGCCTGGACGACCTCTACTCCAACTTCATGAGCTTCGTCGAGTCGGACCTCTCGCACATCTACAACATCCAGGAGCCTGAGGCCCATGCGGGGCGAGGCGCCCCTCCGCGGTACGTGTGGCGACCCATCGGTGGCCCTCCGAGGCAGGGCCAGCCCGCCGCGGGAGCCGAGGCGCGCTACTTGCGGAACCTAGAGGTCGCCATCGCGGATCTCATCCACGTTTTGGAGAAAGGTGTCCATGATGACAGGCGGTGGCAACGCCTTGTCCGAGTTACACGTCCAGGTCATCGACAGGACCTTCACACGCCTGCTGGACATTTGCTCTTCGACTGGACATGGCCCGTGGTGCACTACGCCGTTCAGCTCTCCAAGTCCTGGTGCATCGTCGTCCTTCGCGGCTTCCAGATGGTGGTGGCCGAGACCGTGCACCGCATGGAGCGCGACGCAGGCAACGCGCGCGTCCGCAGCTTCCACAGGTGGGCCCAGGACTCCCTGGTAACTGGCGCGGCGCCGCTCTTCGGCATGACCAAGCTGAAGGGCTGGGCCCACAACGAGGTGGACGCGTTCGGCATTCGCACTTCGTTGCCGCAGGCTGTCGCTGACAGCCAGATGCGGTACTGGAGTGAGATCTGGAACGCCACGCCCGTCACCTCGCCAGCGACCAAGGAGCTAGTCTTTGGCGACGCTGCCCTCACTACTCACCTCCTCGAGAGCGAGCAGTTCGACTCCCAGGCCGTGGCCCACCTCATGGATGCCACCGACACGTTGTCGAAGGCCATCAGCCAGCTGCCGACGGAGTCCCTGCCAGTTCCGACTGTGGCGGAGGTCCGCAGGGCATCCATGTCCTTCAGCTGGCGCACAGGACTGGCAGCGGATATGATGCCACCACGGGCCTACTCGCTCCTCAGCGACGAGGCCCTCGCTATGATGGTGTACCTCCTATGGGCGGCTGAGCGTTGGGGCAGGTGGCCCACCCCGACTCTGATGATTCACGTCATGTTGCTGGCCAAGACCTCAGGCGGCTTTCGCCCTATCATGCTTCTCTCGTCCCTATACAGGGTCTACACCAAGATCCGCATAGGCCACGTTCGACGCTGGGCAGCTGACAACACGAGGCCTTTCTTCGCACTGGGAGCGGGGCGCTCCACCATTGACGTCGGCGCCAGGACCATGGTCTATGCTGAGGCCGCGGACCACACCCGCGGGGACGAGGTCATCACTGCCATGGTTGACATCAGCAAGTGCTTCGACAGAGTCGACTGGAACAAGGTGGTCGAGGCGGCCCAGCGATTTGGGTTCCCACGAGGACTTCTACGGGCAGTTCTTTCCATGTATGCGGCCCCGAGGCGCATCAGGTGGGGCGCCACCTTCTCTTTCGCTGCTCGCGCCATGCAAGGCGTTCTCCCAGGCTGCTCGGTCGCAATGTTCCTGCTCCAGCTGGTGATGATGCTTCCCTTTGAGATCTACCAGACCTCTCTCGCGGCCATCCCGCACACCCTCGACATTTACGCCGACGATATCACGCTGCAGATCGCGATGCCGCGGGATGAGATCGTGGCCCACTCGGTCGCGGCCATCTCCCGCCTCGCCGTCGTCCTCACCGCCTTGCAGCTGCCCATCGCTCAGGACAAGGCCAAGATCCTCGGCTCGACGGAGACCATCGCCAGGTCGGTCGCCTCGCGGTTGGCCCAGCATGGCTTCTGCGCGGTCACTAAGCTGAGTATCCTGGGCCTGGAGTGTCGCGCGGGAGCTCGTCTCATGTACACCGAGGTCCACAAGCGCATCAGGCAGATGAAGGCCAGGATCCCGCGCTTCCGCCGCCTACGCGGATTGGCCCAGGTGACGAAACGCATCGCTCGCCCGTGCATTGCCCCTGGCATGACCTACGGACTCCAGGTAGTCGGGGCACCTCCTGCTACGGTACGCACAATGACCAGATTGGTCAGAACGGGATGGAGCAAGACACCAACAGGCTCCTCGACGATGCTAGCTTCATTCCTGGAGGCGGCGCCCCACCTGCAACCCGAGGTCATGGCCGTCGTCGAGCCCATCTACACGTGGGCACAGTTGATCTTTGACGCACGAGTACCACGTGCAGTCCTACAACGTGCGTGGCGCATGCAGTCCTTGCGCCTTCAGTCTCCCACCTC